GTATCTGACAAATTGATTAGAAAAGGTCATTTGCTGAGCAAGTTTGCAATTTTTTAGTATTTTATTTTTTTAGAATTTGTTTGACTTGTCAATCGCTTACAAGATACAGGTATGAGAATAAACATAGTTTTGAATACATGAGATAGATACTTATAAGAAAAATAAAAAGAAACAATAGGACAGGGACAGTAGGCACAATTGGTGCGCTTATGCACGCCCCCTACAGGCCTCTTAGGAAGGGGATGAGGTCAATAGTAGAAAGTCTAAGGTTAAAGTTTTTGGGGTTTGGGGAAGAAACCACAGAGTCAGAGTATTCCAGACATTGATCACTCTGTTTCTGAAGTCGTATTTCCTGCAATCAAGTTTGGTGCGATTAACCTTGAGTTTGTATCTATTGTTTGCTCTTGTATTGTTATGGTTGAAGTTGAAGTATTCATTGACAGGTAGGACATTGCAATGTATGATTTTATATACTATATTTAGATCGGACCGGAGGCGGCATAGTTCTAGGTTTTCTAGGTCTAGAGTTTCAAGTCTGGTGGCATAAGGTATTCTGCAATGAGTAGAGGAGCGGAGAACTCTTCTTGTGAAATATTTCTGGACTTTTTCAATTGTGTTAATATCAGATACATGATATGGGTTCCAGACTGATAAGCTGTATTCAAGTATAGGTCTAGCAAATGTTTTGTATGCTCTGGTTAGTAGTGTGATATTACCAGAGAAGAAGCTATGTAGGATTAGATTAACAACTCTTAATGCCTTTTTGGTTATGTAGTTACAGTGGGCTCTAGCACTTAGATCATTAGAGATAAGTACTCCAAGGTCCTTGACAAAGTTTGGATCCTTGATTATTTAGCTTGTATTTTATTTTCTGATTTTTTTTTTCTTTGCCAATATGTAAGACAGAGCATTTATTTGTTGAGATTTGAAGTTGCCATTTGATTGACCATTCTGATACATTGTCAAGGTCTTTTTGGAGGGTAGTAGTATTGTCTGTGGTATTGAATAGCTTTACATCATCAGCGAAGAGAACGTAGTTGCTCTTAATATGATCACAGAGGTCATTTATGTAGAGTATGAAGAGAGTTGGTCCTATAACACTGCCTTGGGGGACTCCACTGTTGACAGGTACAGAATTTGATAGGACGCTCCCAATTTTGACCATTTGTTACCTGTTTGACAGAGTGCTTCTGTCCAGCTATGTAGGTGTCCAGAAATACCATAAGTTTTTAGTTTTAGTAGTAGTTTGTCGTGTACCACTGAATCACAGGCTTTACAGAAGTCTATGTAGATTGCGTCTATTGCTTTGCCCTGATCGAGTTACAAATAATAAGTTTACAGCTTATTGAACCATAGATACTTCCTAATTTTACTAACCCTTGGTTTATCTATCTCCAAAATATCCTTCCAGTTCCCTTCACCATCTTTGTTGCTCTTCTCTGCACTCTTTCCAGTTCGTTAGCAATTTTTCTTTTATTGTGGGGACCAGAACTGAGCACAGTATTCCAAGTAGGATTATTACTAGCACAGCATAAGGTAGAACTCTTGCTTGCCTATTTTAACCTGCATTTCTCTTCTGCCCACTCCCTCAACCTCCAAACCATGGCATTTGACAGGTTGGACCACTTTTTTCATTAAAAAAAAAAAGATAGATGCAAAATAGAATAAAGCAGTTCCGTCTTTTCTGTGTTGAAATGCAAAAAAGGCAAGGTTCAAATGGAAAGTTCTTCTTTCCCCTTTAAATTATGCCATCCATTATAACTATATAGTAAAACCAATAGGCTAAACACGCAAATTCCATTCCCCAGTCAGATCAACAACCTTATGTACAAAGTGCTTGGCAGATATTTCTAATTTGGAAAAGTGGGGTAACCTTTACTAAGCAGAGCTCTACAAGTTCTACATGCAGCACTTCTGTAACAAAAGGAAACAAAAATTGTGTTTAAAAAAGACCCAAAGATGACGTTTCCAAACTGAGATTGAGAACAGCAGACAACTTTCCATTTGCATGGCTCATTGCTAAGTTTTGTTGGTAAAACAGTGGCAAATTTACAAAGGCAATGTTTTCAGAGCCATGGACAATTCCTGGGTCATTCCTAATCAAAGGCATAGGCCTTACACTTTTCAGTGATTCTTTGGGTTTCCTTGGAACTTAGCTTGGTAATCAATGAGTCTGAAAAATCTTTTCAAAGCTATCAATCTTATCACAACACTTTTGTTCAGGCTAAGGAAGAAACTGATTAAGCCAAACCAGACACCTCATCCGGTTGAGGTTATTTCTGACTATCTTTTGTCTCTCACTATCTTTTGTTACTTTTGACTGGGAGTCCCCAAACGTGGCAACTTCCAGACTTGTGGACTTCAACTCCCAGAATTCCTCATCCAGTTATGCTTTAAGTCCATGAGTCTTAAAGTTGCCAAGTTTGGAGACTTCTGCTCTTGACCTTGGCTTTGTGCTTAGGGCAGGATTAGAACTCTACTCGTTGCAGAATACCTTATGCCACCAGACTTGAAATTCTAGACCTAGAAAACCTAGAACTACACCCACCGCCTTCGGTCCGATCTAAGTATAGTATATAAAATCATACACTGCAATGCCCTACCTGTCAATGAATACTTCAGCTTCAACCACAACAATACAAGAGCACACAATAGATAAAAACTCAAGGTAAACCGCACCAAACTTGATTGCAGGAAATACGACTTCAGCAACAGAGTGGTCAATGTCTGGAATACTCTACCTGACTCTGTGGTTTCTTCCCCAAACCCCAAAAACTTTAACCTTAGACTGTCTATGATTGACCTCACCCCTTTCCTAAGAGGTCTGTAGGGGGCGTGCATAAGCGCACCAATTGTGCCTACTGTCCCTGTCCTATTGTTTCTTTTTATTTTTCTTATATGTATCCATTTCATGTATTCATAATTATGTTTAGATTTATACCTATTATCTTGCAAGCAATTGACAAATCAAATAAATAAATAAAAATAAAACTCACAGTCTCCTGGTTTCTAGCCTGATATCTTAACCATTATAGCAAACCGGCTCTCCAGGGACGTCTACTGTGTTGGATTTGTAGTACAATCACAGAACCTCCAATATGTTGACTTGTTAGACTTTGGAAACACAATCTTCTTGTATTTTTGAAACATCCCTCCTAAGTTGGGCTTCATAGCCTGGAAGAATCATCTAGCTTCACCCGATCAGGTGGATCCCAAATCAGACAAAGAAGTGTTTACATACTATTCGAATTTTATGTGTCTCTAATTCAGGAGTACTTCAAATGTACTCAGCCAAAGGTCACTGAAGAATCTATTGGTCTCACATCTTCCTTCCACTCCAACTTTGGAGGATCCATTGTTAGGAATATAAGTCACCTACAGGTATTTGGATTAGAAATATATAAACCAGGATAGACATTTTAATACTGTCTCTTTAAGAGCATGCTAAAAACTGCAATTGGGTGTGGTTACTCAAATGGCCATAAGATGGAGCCAGAAACCTGGGTTGTTTTTGTCTTAGTCTTAGTCTCAGAAGAGAGTGTGTCTGAGTGAGTATCTCTGTTTCCTTCTGTTGGAAAGTATTGCCGTTCCTCCATTTTTTCTAATTGACTGATATTACTGGATTTAATGTAAGTCTGTTACTGAACTGTTTTTGACACTGGACTTTGTTATTGAATTATCCCTGGATTGAAAAACTGACTGATTTACCTGTGAATGACTTTTGGACTGCTTATTTTGGACTTTGCTTAAACCTTTCTGGAAGTAAAAACCTACATTTACTGTACAGTGTATCTGTGTGCTCTGTATGTATTATTCCAACACTACTCTCTATACGTCTCCCTGTATGCGCTCATTCTCCTAACGGGGAATTACCTCAACAGCCATACTACACTGTATCCTTCAAGGATCAAAAGTCTGTATACAAGTTGTATGGAAAGGTAATTACCTTTCCATCTATCTACTTTTTTCTTTCTCCATTCCCAAGTGAAATTGTGCTAATGCAAAAAATATTCTTGTATTGCATATAGTGAATCTGCCATCTTGTAAAAGAAGGTTTTTCCTTTTTTTCTATGGTAGGAAAGCTTTCTTGGTTTCTTTTTCAGGTTTTTAAGATTCATTTTCTGTAATAGTTGAAAACATTGTGAAATGGATTGCATCTTATAACTTTTTCACATTTTCCTTGTCATTCTCTGAGCTCCTTTCATTTCTTTCAAGTGGAATGTATTAAATTATTCATAAATAATTAACTGCTTATTTATGTTTTGGTTCGATTTCTCTACTGTTTTTTATTTAATTTTAATTTTATTTATTTATTTTATTTAAGAATTCAAGGTAGCAATTTCTTTAAATGCTAGGTTCAAATATTTTTTGTACTAGCAAATATTCTCTTGTTGAAGCTTCAAAACATTTGCCCAGAACTCCTCTTTCATTATCTGATTGCAGACAAGTAATAAGCAGGAAACACGCAGTTCCACCTGGAGCAGTGCTTCACTCTATCTGCAGGATCAGGCCACAGGCCATCAGCATATCCACTTAGAAAATATTCAGCATTTGCTGTGTAACTGATACAATTGGTTGGTAATGAAGCCCAACCCTGTGGAATATACAAATCCAAGTAAAAACATCTCAAACAGATGGTTTTCTAACTTCTGCCTGAACATATTCATCAATAGTAATATTCTGGGCATCACCCACAGTCACTCCTGATGAGATGGGCAACTACTTAAATTTAATCAATAAATAAACACAGCTCCCTCAGAAAATTGCTCTTATTCCATTAAGAATTTCTTTCTAATGCTCAACTCGGAAATCTGTTTTCCTGTAAACTCAGACCATTTTTTTGTACCTTACCATCTGAGGTGTCAAAATTAGTTTTGATTTTCTGCTGTGCCATGATACTTCAAATATATGAAGAATGCAGCCATATTCCTCTCAGCTGTCATTTTTTCCAAAGCTAAGTATTAATATATGGTAAAATAACCTCTTTGATTAATTTTCAGATTCCATTGAATACTGTGAGGCTTACAATGATCTGTATGGACGTTGGCATCCACAGCAGACTTGTTCAAATTATTGTTGTGGGACCTGCAACAATCGTTATTGTTGCTCATATGCCTTTAACAAAAATTACCAGTTTCTCTGTCCCCTGGAAAGGTATGATTGGAAATTACTGTGCAAGGGTTAGGGGGTTGTGAGGTTGTTTAAGAGGTGTTGTACATACCAATTCTGGAGAGGATACTGAAGTTAGAACATAATTCCATGTTCTGCCTTTGCTGCTTGTTTATCTTGTTCATATTTCCAGCCCAAGAGCACAATAAAAGAGGGCTTGGCACTGCTATCTCTCCTCTCTCTATCTCAGTATTTTTCAACCCTGGCAACTTCTAGATGTGTGGATTTCAGTTCCCAGAATTCCCCACTCGGCAACCCCAGCCTGGCTTTAGTGGCTGAAGAATTCTGGGAGTGGAAATTTACATATCTTAAAGTTTACTAAGTTGGAAAATACTCCCCTGTCCTATCAAAGATAACTCTCCAAAAACAGCTAAATGTCTGTGGAGATTCTCAGTCATCCAGGTCACGGTTGTTCCAAAGGTGCTTTTTCAGAAGTCAGTTGGGCTTTCTTTGTTTTTCCTTAAAGGAAAAACAAAGAAAGTCCAGTTGACTTTTGAAAAAGCACATTTGGGTCTCCGAAAACATAACAAACTGGGCCATATTTGGCAGGAGATGAGAACCTGGCCCAAAAATATTAAAAAAAAAATTGCTTTGAAAGATAAACCATGGTTATAGAGAAAACACATTCCAGGGAAAAAACCCTCCAATATGCTCCCTGCAGGGGTGGGTAGATATTGTAATCCAAAAATCAGTCAGGCAATTGATTGGAAAACAGTGTTGGACCCTTCCTTAAAGTACTTCCTGTTTGAACTACAAGTGTTAAACAGGCAAGCCCTCCTGGGTTTGGCCCTGTCGCACAGGTTATAGCCAGGTCTACTTGTGGGCTTTGCCTAAATAAGGCTGTATGGGGAACTCTGGGAGCTGAAGTCCATTCAACTAAAAGTTGCCAAAGTAGAGAAACACAGACCTAAATTTACCTACTATGCCAATTGCATCTATTTCTGGTTTTAATGCCATGCCCTTACTTTATATGAGAATTGGAGCCGAGGAGAAATTTTCATTTGGCCCATAACACAGCTGCTATAGCATATGACAACCATAGTAGCATGTATGTACTGAATCCAAATGCTTTTCCAGACTGCATCTTCCCACGCAATCCTATACAAACCTAAATACAAAGGTCCCCATTTCTTTTGAGCTGGTGAAGACATTTTGAGAATATGTTGCACGTGCTCTCAGAAAAGGACCATTGAGGAGACTCACCCTGCTGCAGACCATACTGTAGATTTACCTGTAGACTGTAGATTATGCTGCAGATCATACTGTAGATGTTACCTGCCATCCCACTATCTTCCTACTTTTCTTAGTCACAATATGGATATACTTTATTTTAAAAGAAAGCTTAGTTGGGGCTCAAAAATTTCTGGAAGTGAAATTCTATTGGAAACTGGAACATTGTTTTATAAGACCCCTTCACTGTATTATTATTTACAGGAAGCACAATTTAAAATTTAAAAATGTGAAAAGAATTGGCAATCAAGGAAGATTGTTGCAAATAATTATGTCAGTGACCCTGGCTTAATACCAGCACACAACACTTCTTACATTAATTACACAATTGCAAATGTGATGTCAATCAATGCAAGTGATGTTAATCTGGATTTCACCAAAGCTTTTTTCTTCCCAATACACTATTAAGTCTTTTTCTTTCTTTAATTGCTTCTAAGGACTGTTGTCAGTCATCTTGAGCATTATCAGAATGTAAATGTTATTATATAAGTTAACACTATTGGATATATAGCATTTCTCATCTTTTATTAGAAAAGGGCAACTTAAACATTGTTGTATTTAATCTGTGAACATCTTTTAAAATAATTTCTTTTTAATCTTGTCGCTACAGTACACTTCCATCTTTCAAGCCTGAACCATTCAAGATAGACCCAGATTTTGAAGATCTATATTGGTCTGATTACAGGTACACATATATAAAAATCCCGTGGAATTAGAAAGGAAATACTCTGTATTAGCTACATATGCTTCTTTTTATGCTGACGATAATCCTTTCATCAATCAAAAGTAAAAACGTAAGGGACTGTGAAATTAACCACTCTTAACATAAAAGCCATGTGTGTCTTAACACTGTAAGGATAATGATTATAGACTTAACAGATGAAAAAGGTGGGAGCTATATTCTGCTCTAAAACCAAAAGCCACAGAGCTAAAAGAATCAGCTGCAGCAACTTGCTGCGTACTTGCACTTTGAGACTTAGTGAGCTATGAAGCCTTGCCTAAGTTAGTTTGGCTATTCTGCCATTTTAAGAGGTATGCAGTTAGTCCTCAAAATACAACTAGTCACTTGGTCATTTGAAGTTATGATAAACTGCCCCAAAGATACCTACAACTGTGTTTCATTAGTCTTACAGAGGCTGCAGCACACCGCAGTCATTCAGTTTTACAATTGACAGGCTGCAGCAATCCCTCCCATGCCCCCAACCCCTTCTCCATCTCCATTCTACCGTGAAGGGACCCTGAAGCACTTGAGCCTGCTCCCATGCCTTCTGGGAGCAGCCATCATTTTCAGCACTCCAACAATTCTTTGCGGCAATGACAGCTGCTTATAAAATGTATGTGTGTGACCAAAAGACCCATTCGGTCTTATTTTCAGGGGCTGTCTTATTTTGCGGCCACCCACCTGCTCCCTCCCACCATCTATTTGCCTGTAGCCGCAACGGCTTACAGGGCTTCCTTCCAGGTGCAGATGCACTTTTCCACTCAGACAGAGAAATGACAGAGACTCAAAGCTTCGTCTGCTTGCAAATGGGATGCTTTGAAACGGAGCTAAGTGCGTTGGAATCGCTCGCCTCCCTCTCTGGTGCCTCTGCCTGGCTCCATCACACACTTTTCGCCTAGGAGATGAAGCTTCGTCTTCTTGCAAATGGGACCCTTTGAAATGGCGCAATTAGCTCCGTTTAAAAGCACCCCATTTGCAAGCAGGCAAAGCTTTGTCTCCCTCTGAGCAAAAAGTGTGTGGCAGAGCCAGGTGGCAGCAGAGGCACGGGAGACAGAGGCAGGCGATTCCAACACACCACCCTCTCTGTCCCACTATCTCTCAGATTGCCCGCAGCTGTGCTGGGCAGCACCCGCCTGGGCCGTCAGGATCGCCTACCTCCCCCTCCCCAAGCTGCCTGTGAGCCATGCAGCTGCACAGCACATCCAGCTGCACAGCACATCCAGCTGCACAGCACATCCAGATCCCCAACCTCTATCTCCGCACTCGATTTATCTGTGCTGTGTCAAGGGCTGCTGCTGCTGCTGCCGGACACCATCTGCTCTTGCACGCTTGCTGTCTCTTGTGCTGGCCATGCCCATCCCCCGGACTTATTTTTGGGGTAGGGCTTATATTAGGCCCTACCCCAAAAAATCAGACTAGGGCTTATTTTCAGGGTGGATCTTATTTTTCAGGGAAACATAGTATGTATCTTTGGTAGGAATAGCTCCACCGGATGTTAGAAGGAGCATGGCACAAGACGTGGAATATGGAACAGTGTAACATGATGTGACACAACTGTTATTGGCCAAGTACCCTCTACAAAAAGATTGAAATGAAGAAGGAGCTTTTTGGATTGAGCCAAGGAGATTGTGACTACACCTCAAAAGGAACCGCTAAAAAGATGGAAACTTCAAGTTAAATATCTCCATAATTGGATAGAACTGCTTGAGGAATTGCCTGGAGGTTGGGAAGAGGAATCGATGGTTTGGAGATGTTTAAATAGATTGTGCACTGGTTTGGCTGGAACTAAAGACCACAAGTTAAAATGGGGTTTTCTCCTTGAGGACAAGGAGAGTACTGCGAATGTGACAGTATTCAAACAGCTATCCATCTTTTTCAGTGCCCTCTGGGACTGAGCTGCACACAGAATGACTTTCTAGTCAGAAATATCTCTGCCATCAACATGGCCCAGCATTGGGCTAGAACTATATAAATCTATGTTTTTATTCAAGTTTTTTATCATTTTAAATGTAAATTAATAATTATCCCCTTTCTAGTTCCTGCATGTCTGACCTGAGACAAAACAAGCTGGCCATCAGAAGACGCTCGTAGGCTTTGGGGAAGCCAGATGCATGTGTGCAAATGCTACACCTTCTGGATGAGCTTCTCCAAACCATTTCCTTGCTTAACCTCCTCCCTCCCTTCCTCAGAAACTCACATTTCTTCAATGAAAAAAACAAAAACAAAAAATCTGGGAGGGACAGACTTGTTGATCTTTACACACACACACACACACACACACACACACAGGCACACCCCTTAGATGCTGAAACTAAACTGTCCACCCCTGTCCTCCCATCTCAATTCCTTTTAACAACTTAATTTGCTAAATTTACTGCCTGCCTAGAAAAAGGGTGACAAAATTTATTAATTACTTACCTTGATGAATGATTGCCAGGCTGAAGAACAGAAGAAAGGAAGCAAGCAAAGAAAATATTTCTGCAGGTTGTTTGCCTTGAAGAGTTGAAGAAAAAAGTTCAACTGAAAACAAAAAGCTGCTTAAGCACAAACGTGCACCAAATGGCTATGGCAGAAACTGGGTCCTAAAGGGAGTCAGAGAAGCAGCAAAAAAGGTTTCCAAAGGTTTCCAATTCAGCCATTAGAGCACCTTAAGGTTATGTGATCACCAATCGGGCACTTCCCATCTAGTATTAATTTGTGATCATTGCACTGTCCTGCAATAACATGAGAGCTATTTGTGTCCTTCGTAGCTGGCTTACAACAAGCAGAGTTATGAAGAAAACACAAGTAAAACTGCGTATATAAGGTCATATGATTTCCACTTAGTGACTGCGCAGCTTAGTGAGTGAGTTCCTGGTCCCAGTTGTGGTTGCTTATCAAGACTACTTGTATCTACTAAGATAAAAATAATTCAAGCATTAGTTCTTGTGACACTCCATGAAATGGCAATAGCAATAGCATTTAGACTTATATATTGATCCATAGTGCTTTACAGCTCTCAGCCAGGGGTGTCAAACTTGCAGCCCACGGGCCGGATGCATCACATGCTGGCCATGCTCACCTCCATTTTAGCAAAGGGAGGGAAAGTCGCAATACATCATGTGATGACAACATGACGCTATGAGTTTCATACCCCTGCTTTAAGCGGTTTACAGTGTCAGCCTATTGTTCCCAACAGTGAAAATTGGGCTTTGAAGAAGCAGCATAGGAAGAGTATTGATGCCTTGATATTAGAGAAGACACCTGTGAATACCATGGTAAATCAAGAAAACAGACAAATGGATCATCAACCAAATCAACCCAGAATTCTCACTCAAAGCACATAAACTATCGTATTTTAGACATGTAAAGTCCCAACTCTCTGGAGAAACCTATAAATCTGGGAAAGATAGAAAGAAAAAGAAGATGATGACCACCAGCAGCAAGGACCAAGTTGGAGATAGAACCTCCTAGAAGCATTGACACCCACAAAATCGTAATCAGAAGTATGCATTATGCTAAGCACAGTGCAAACACAGAATAAAAGAACAATTGAAGCAGTAGTATATTACAAGTAATTATAGTATTGGGCTCCTTGGTGCTGTCTGAGCTTGATTGTTTTCTTGGAGACATTTCATTACCCAACTAGGTAACATCATTATAAAGTCGTAATATGAAGTAAGGGATCTCTAAACTGAAAGGATAGTAGGAGCTCATGAAAAAGAAGCAATCTGAAAACATTTTTTAATGTTAAATGATCCATATGTAGTCCTGCTGGACTCTTTTCCAAGTGCTTGGAACTGGTGGAAAGATGCTTGTAATTTTGGCGGCCAGGAAAACCAAATGAGTCTGCCCTACCATATTGTCAAACAGACAGGAACATAAGCCACCAGTGGATCTTTCGAATCATTAGATGTGCCCACACGCAGGGTGAAACTAGAAATGACAAGTGCTAAGTTACTTTTGATTAGATAGGAGGGATTAAAGAAACCCCCAGGAGCTCCCCAGATCTGGGTTGAGAATTCAAATCCCTGATTTCTGCTTGTGTGATTAGCAACCACGTGGGCAGATCTCACCATCTGATTCACCTACATTTCTCCATCTCCTCTCTGCACAGTTCTCTGATGTGCTTTCTCAAGCTACTGATGAGATGTGCTTGTCCAATCCTGTCAGCTGGTTTGTTTGTTTTTCAGAGACCATAGCAAATGTTCAGTGATGGGAAATAGTCCAGCAATATATTTAAGGATAAAATCAGTCAAGCAAAGATGCCTCATGTGATTTTTAGGATTTAAAGAGACGGTCCTTAATTAATCATTTTGCTCTTGTTCAAGCTGCCTCCAAATATTTTGTGCACAGAAATGTCACTTGGGATATTTTGATTTCTGGTAAAAGGGTTGGGAAGACTCTGCTAGTTCTATTAAGCAGTTTAGGTTTTCTTGAGCAATTGTTTCTGCTGTGCCTGCTGCGCTTGGAATATCTGTAGCCCAGCAGTGCTCTGTATCTTTCAGAAAACTCTGAGTAGGGAGCAGGATGTGATCAAAGAAGCTACGTTTCCTGTTGAGATGTGTGACAAATCACATGTCTTCCGGTTTTATCCAGAAATGTAGCTTCTGTAGTTTCGTTTCTCAGTGAAGGAAAGCTTAAGAGTTCTAAGGGACAGAATCGACAAAGGAAGTTTTGAAAAGAAAATATAAGGGGTTTCTCCCCCCCTCCCCTGGAAGCCAAAATGAGGTAAGCTTTGTGCCTTTTGTTGGCAGGAATCTTTCCTTTCATTCATTAACCATGAACCTTGGAGCTTTTCTCTGTAACTTTGGGGTATTGTTTATTGAGAAGAAATACCTATTCCATTAATAGCAGTCATTTACCGTATTTGCCGGCGTATAAGACGACCCGGCGTATAAGACGACCCCCCACCACCACCGGAAACGCCCTCCAGAAATCCCCGGGGCTGCAGCGGCAGGGCAGAGTGCCAGGGTCCGTGGGAA